GTAAAACCTTCTGGAAGATTTCAGGTTGGGAACTCAGGGAAGAATTCACTTTGACCTGCTCCATTTAGCATTTGATGATGGGGTGCCTGAAGGCTGGTACAGAGGTTGCCTCCCAGCCTCATTGGCACTGTGATGCAGTAAACGCATCCAAAAATGTGTTAGAAAAGAGAAAGGCCTTTACAATGAGCCTGGGCCTCCCCTTTGTCTTGTGAGATTTTAACTACTGTAATTGCTTGTAGTGTGAAGTAGTGTGTTTTTCATGTATCTATTTTTATTTTGTGTCTGTCTGCATATCTGCTTGTTTGTTTCATTTTGTTTTGTTTGTTAACTCACTTGAATCCTGGTGGGTATTTGTCCTGTGAATAGTATTGCATCAGGAAAGCTCAAACTCTCATACACACATACACACACAATAATAATATGAAGGCTAAATGGAGTAGAATTTATTCTTTAAAAAACGCTAATGGTGAAGTCTGAGCAGATGACTTTCTAATCCATACTGTATTTAATTGGCTGTATTGAACCATAGTACAAATTAAGTCTTCTCTGTAATTTATTCTGTCAGATGGTAACCCTCCAAACAATTTGATACTTCATTTAAACATTGGTAAATGGCTCATGGAAATGATAAGGGAGGGAGGGGGAGATTTAATGATGATCAGATAAGGAACCCTCTGTTCACAGAATGAATCCTACCCTACATGAAATGTCATGAATTAAATTAACCCAATTCAATCATTCATTGAACATTTATTGAGCAACTACCTTGTCCAGTGTATGTCTTCAGATGACTTGGTTCTTCCTTCTTTCTTTATCAAACATTATTTAGCATTTAATATTCAAAAGGAATGGTATTGGGAGCTGGGATAAGACTGAGGAGACTCAGACATCCATCTTTCTTTTAAGGAGCTAGCATCCCCAAAGTGGAAAGAAAACATGGTTTCAGGACGTAGAGGCTTTTGCATGCTCAGTTCTTTCTGTCTAGAATATCTTTCCCCCTGACTTTCTGGGGAGTCCCCATTTATCCTTTGAGGCTCAGTTCAAGGTCAGCTCCTTTGTGAAGACTTCCCTGATACCCTTTCCCATTCCTGCACTGAGCCTATGTAACACCCTGTGCACACCTTTAATATAAAGCTTGTCTTATAGTATGGTTGTTAGTTTCTTTGCCTGCCTGTTTTATGCCATTGCAAGGTCCTTGATGAAGGCACTGTTTTAATCATCTAGAGAGATGTAGCACTTAGGGTGAGTCCTGGAACATAATAGGTGCTCAATAAATACATATGGTGTGAATAACTGGATGAACAGATGAATGTGAAACAAAATTAATGTGTGAAACATCTTAGATAGAAGGACAAATACAATGCAATGAGATCTAGGGATAGGAATTATAACTAAAGGCAAAGAAGTCAGGGAAGTTTCCTTGGATGAGCAGGATGTTAGAGCCAGGCCTTGAAACACAGATGTGATACAGTTGTATGGAGTTGATGAAGTGTGTGAATCAGGGGATGAAGAGTGAGAACAGCAGAGAAAACAATATGGCTGATGGCACAGAGGTGGGAAGGTACAGACTCCAAAGGGGGAGTGAGGAATTCTTCAGGTTATCTGCAGCCCAGGTTACCTGAAGTGCACTCGTGCGAGGAAGGTTGGATTGAGGGGGCTGAGCTCTGAATTGTCCTTGGAGTTGTTCAGTAAAAACTTCCATCCACAGTGTAAGGGAGAGGGTTCAGAATGGGAGGAATAAATGAAGCTGTGGCAGAGAGATAGGGTATTCTCGAGGCCTCTATTTTTAAAAGCAGATACCTGCTTTGATTTTTGGAAGTGCTTCAATATCTGGACTGTTTTTCCAAGACAAAATGTTGTTTTCCCAAAAAAATGTGGAAGAAGGACAACCAAAATCTGCCTTTCCTTCACCCTCCCCCTCCCACTCCAGCCCAGTATTGTCTGCCACCTCCACAACAACCCATAATGCCCCAGGAAGTCCCCACAGTCCCCTGGATGGAGCAGTCCTTATCTCCCTCATCGTTCCAGCCTTGGCTGCCCCACAGATGGCCTAGCTCTTGAGAGTATAGTTCCAAATCATGCTGTCTTGACCTTTCCCTTTGAGATCTTTATAGCTGGCCTTTACCCTAAACCTTCTGATTCATGACCTTCTCTGACCTCAGTTACCTGCCAGAATACAAAAGAGCCTCAGCTGTCTTTCCCTACCCAGCAGTCCCCTTCCTCATCCCAGCTTGTCAGGGGTCACGTGTTTGTGTTAGAGAGGTAGTCAAGAGTCTAAGGCAAGGAGATCTTGATTCTACAATGCATAATTGTGTTTCTTTTATTCAGTATTTTGTCACACTGAATGGGGAGAACAGGGCCCAAGTTTAGTACTGGTTCTGCCGGCACTCTTCCTGATCAACAGTCCTTTCATGAATAAACTCAGAGTTGAACTCGATGATGTTTAAGGTTCCTCTGGCTCCAACTGTCTTTGATTGCACTGATAAAAATCTACTTGAAGACATGGAGCAATTTTGAGGCTCAGTGAGCAAGTATTTGCAAGATCCTCTTAGTTGCCAAGATGAATGTGATAATACGACTGTGGGATTAGCAGGATTCTAATGTATTTGTATTTCCAAGTATCCATATTATGTCTGCACGATTAAGGGCAGAGAAAGTGGAGACATATCCCCTCTCTGACTCTTCGTTTCCAAATGAATGAACCACTTTCAGAGCAATCCTTTTTAACATGTCGTAAAATTAACTATGGGATAAGATGATGTTACAAATGTCTCAAAGCACTTCATGCACACACTTTGCGAGGCAATATTAGGTATCATCAGGCATTCAAAATATTTTGATTTTAAAACACTTAATGAAGATTCCCAGATAAATTGAAATATCTCCATCTGCTATCTTGCATAGTAGGTGATATTTTACCATTGTACACTCATCTCTAAATCTAATTCCACTAGGAAGACTTCTAATCGCAGTTTAATCTTAGAGCAGTATTCCACTTAGCAATCAGTAAGGTACTGTCGTCAAACTTTGATTTAATAGGAGACGTGGCTAACATTCTCCACATTATGTGGAGAGAGAAATACTTTCAGGAAAGGGAGAAATGGAGAAAGTCTTTGTGTCCCACTTCCCCTGCTGCATCCCACTCGAATGCACAAAAGCCTATAAAATCAATACTCCCATGTTGCGTGAATAGAAGTCTCATCAATTTAACATCATTAACACCATGAAAAAGCTACCGCTCTTTCAGCAATTTTCCTCTCCTAGCTAAATATGTCCTCTTAATAAAACAAGAATAAATGGATCTTGATTATTCTGCTAACAAACACTTCCTTCTTTATCAACCTTATTTGTGTTGAAATCCACTAGAATTATATAGTTGTCTTATGGTCACACGGGGGTGGAGTGACTGGGCAGTGACACCACTCTTCAAGCTGATGTCCAATGGGCAGTGGGCAACCCGGACAGGGCATGAAGCTGAAAAGACAATCCTAAGGGAAGTGAAAAGGACAGTGAATGATGAGACTCTGGGAGGTTAAGGTGCAGCAGCCAATTCTACTGCAGGAATGATTCATCAGCTCAAAAGCCTGGAAGGATGGCGATAGGCTGGGAATGGATGGTTTGGAAGGCCAGGGCCAGTGGCCCAGAACTAAGGTGATGGCCACCATGAAAGACAGATGCCCACTGTCCTCAGGTCCTGGCTGTGTGGTGCAAGGTTCTAATGGCTAAAGAATCTGGGGCAATGGAACAAGCCTCAGAGAACATCTACTCCGGTGGTTCCCACCGTTTTCATGATTAAGTCCCTGTTGTGCTACATGTCTCCCTCCCTCCATGGGCTCAGTAAGGAGGAAGATTGTGTCCACCAAAAGAAAACGCATTTATAATCACCCACTTCCCTGTTTGAATTATTCGAACCCATACCTAATTTCCAAAGAGAATCTGTTCAAAGATGAGTTAAGGAGTACAACAGTAACCTGATACAATTCCAAATAAACTTGGTGTTTTCATTTGCATGCACAATGAAATGTGTAGTCTTATAATGAATAATTACAAATTTGTTTAGCTTTTTGAAATGTTGAAAATTGCTTGGGAGGTCTTTTTAATTACCTTTAATGACCATAATAGATCCAGGGCTTTGGGTTAGGAGTCACTGATCTGGTGCAAACATCTCGTTTAATAGAGGAATAAACTGATGTCCGGAGAGGTGAAGTGAATGCCTTATGATTGCATAGTGGCTAGAATTTAAGCTTCTTAACACCCACTATAATGAAAAGGCCCTTAAAGTTATAAGAACTTTGAACACATCATATAATGCCCAAATGTGTACATAACACTTTACAGAATACTGTTTAATGAGGGTTTCTTTATAAGTAGGTTTAATATAGGAAAATGGCCATAAAGGTCACCATCACCAACTGGATGGTGAACAGTGTTTGTTGAAGCTTAGATAGTAAAGGCAGGGAAGGCAGTTTCAAAAGATTTTCAAATTACTGATCAGGTATTCCAGTTTACCTTAGTTCAACAACCAGGAGCCAAGCACAGTGCAAGATGCTAGGATGACAGAGATGAGGAAGACAGAGCCTGGTGGGGAAGACAGACAAGGAGTCAGACAAATGCATCAGAAAAGGGAGTTCTGTGAAAGCAGGAATCTGGGGAGCTGTATGTGAGCAGTCTAACAGGAGTTTCAGTATCACTAGAGACTTAAGTTCTGTGGAAACACAACAGAGAGAGGAATTATTCCTGCAGGGAGAGGGAAGGCAAGCCTTGTTCAGGGAAGGTTTCACAGAGGTGGTGCTATTTCAAATGGCCTTTGTTAGTTAAGAGGAATAAGATTCGGGCAAGTGGATAAAAGAATGGGTGTTACAGACAGAGGGGTCAACTCATGAAAGCCACAAGGATGTGGGGGACCCCACCTCTAACCCAAATGGTGACTTTGAACAAGAAAGGGAAAGGTGTTTGTTCCTCAAAATACCCTATCACCATCCGTTAGAAAATTGTTAACCATGCACAGCCATGGTTCTGTGCATGTGAATGGCGCCCCCTGTGGTCGCACAGTGTACATCTCCCAACAGGGCGCCCCCTGTGGTCGCACAGTGTACATCTCCTTCCACGGCACACAGAGGCCCTGGGTTTGTGAGTGTATTAAATATCAAGCCAGAACTGAGACTGGGCTGTGTCATGAAGAAAGATGGAGCAGAGAAGCCTACACCACTGAAGGAGACTGACTGGCTCCGGCAGGCGGCAGGAAGCCACCGCCACAGACTCTCATTCAGCAGATGAGCAGTTCTGCGTATCTCTCCCGTCACAGCACTAAGACCGTGGAGGGAAGCCTCCACTTCTCAAGGGCAGGCACAGCTCTTTTTCCTTCCATCTGGACCAAACAGCTTTTCCAAAGCCCTTTGGGCCTGTTCATACACGCAGTTGAAACACATCTCTTACTGATCAACAGCTCCAAGGGAAAGTGCCCTGAAATGAGCTCTTCCTTTTGTCTCTCATAGGCCCTTCAGCAGCACCATGCTGTTCACGAAATTTCCTACATTGCAAAGGACATCACAGATCACCGCGCCTTTGGCTACGTTTGTGGAAAAGAAGGAAATCACAGATTTGTGGCCATAAAAACAGCCCAGGCGGTGAGTACCCCATCCAAGGAGGGCGTCTTTCCTTATAACTTTAGGGGACAGCACGGTCACACTGCTGCTCTGAAGGCCCACTCTGAAGTATGAATAAGTGACACTGATGCTCAGCTTCCCATCTAGAAAAGATAACAGCTTTGAAGAAAGGAAACATGCTCATGCCTATTCTTGTTGTTGTTGTTTTTCCTAATGGGTATTTCGTAATGACTAATTATTTCCCTTTCTGATTATGCTGGATGGAGGCGCAGTATACAGATAAGTTTCCTCGTGTTCATAGCCTCATTTAAAAAGAAAATAAGAGAAAGCAAATAGCTATTTTGCATAAGGCCTACCCTAATTTTACTGTATCCGAAATTACTAATAAATAAAATAAATAAAAGCATTGCCTTTTATGCTTATGATTATTATGAATTTGCAAATATAATTAGTTGAAGAAATGAACTTTAGCTTAGATGCAATTTGCTAAACCAATATAAACAAGGTAGAATTAATTAAAGGTGGAATGCTTTCAGTTTAATCGAAAAAGGAAGGGCTGCCGGTTGTAGCCGGCAGAAACAGAAATTAGTCGTTGCAACTCAGCCCCAGTCCTTTATTAATGCTTTTTATCACCTTTTACTCCAGGCTGAACCTGTTATTCTGGACTTAAGAGATCTCTTTCAACTTATTTATGAATTGAAGCAAAGAGAAGAATTGGAAAAAAAGGCACAAAAGGATAAGCAGTGTGAACAAGCTGTGTATCAGGTATGCCTATGAATTTATACTGGTACGAGAGAAATTTGGGGCTTAAAACAAACAGATGTTAAAACTGGCAGTCAGGGCCTGCCGCCAAATGGAAATAAATAAAGATGAAAGGTTTCCATGGAAATTACGGACACCTAAAGCAAGCCATTAGAAATGATCCCTTAGTCTCTGAAATCCTAGACCTGTAAGAGAAAGTGAAACCTTGAATCCAGAGGAGGATTTCAGGGGAGGAGAATAAAAGAAACCCAATTGTTTTGGCTATTGTTACAATGGGGGTGGAGGTGACTACAAGGGCTTTGATTTTTTTTTTCTGTGTATTTTCTACCTTAACGACCCACTAGCCTACCCTACCCAGAGCTGGTGTCTTCACTGTCCTGTAATTTCTGAATACAGTCTCACATCTCTTCCTTTCTGTCCTCTGCTATGCACCCTCCCTTCCCTCACTCTGCTGTAGACAATTCTGGAAGAGGATGTTGAAGACCCTGTGTACCAGGTAATTTCCGAAATGAGTTGGGATTCTAGGATCAGGAATGTCTGGGCCTGTGGTGCAGCCATGTTGTCCAAGACCTAAAGCATCCCCAGAATGCAGAGCCCAGAGAGGGGCCAAGGTGATTTCTGAGGGTGAGGGCTGCCAGCCCCTTTGGGAATGAATTTCCATAAAAGTGAGCAAAAGTTTGGCTGGCATCAATGACATGGGATTTGAGGATGCACTCCTCCCTTCTTGCCCTGCCTCAGCCCCCTCCACGATCTGTAAAAGTTTGATCCCAGAGCCGAATGCTTTTGAGAGTCTCTTGAATATTCTGAGTTCATTAGAGAGACTGAATAATGAAGTGGTTTCTCTGAGTTAAGAACTGGATATGAGAACTAACATTTTGACGCCATTTGAACACAGACCCAAAGGATGGTTTGTAAGCTTTAGAAAGGCTGTGAGGAGAGGGCTTTCTGGCCCCTGGTCCGCAGGGCTGCCCCTCTGATTTGCTGGCTAATGCCACAGGGGCTGTTGTGAAGAGGGAAAGAGAGATCCTAGAGGCATCCCAGCCTGTAGCGTTTTCTGGACTTTCTTCAAGGCTGCAGCCCAGGTGTGGGTAGAGAGATGCTTTCCCTTGGGCTCAAGTATGTGCTCTGTTCAAACAGATGCAGAAAAAAAAAAAAAGCAAAAGGAAGCCCCTCCCACTCTGTGCTTACTCCCACGGAGAGAAAGAAGCCCAACAATATACTTGTTGCACATAAAAGAAAACCGGAAACTTATATTTCTAACTGGGACACACAAAGGTTACAGATGTGTATGTCACCTATGCATATATGTGCATGCATATTTTCACACAGAAAGCTAGGACTGCTATGACAAAAGTAAAATCATATGGATTTTAAAAGGTAATATAATATGGATGGCTTGAATTGGGGTATCTAGCTTGTATGGCAAGCAGAAGTTGAAGGTGCGCCTAATGACATGCCCTTGCTTTCCAATGAATGCTGAGAACAAGGACTTGTTTATATTTTGAGCTCAGCCACTGGCTAACTGGCTCACAAAGAATGAAGAATATTGTCTTTTTTGAAATGGCCGCATCCTTTCGAGTCTGAAACATGCACATGGATGTTATAGGATGAGGGAGTTTGGGGTTCTGAGTACTTCAGAGTTGGCTTGGGACCTGGAGCCTTAGAGAGCAAAGGGAGGCAACCGCTGTGACCCAAAGTTTACAAAGTTGGGACCCAGGCGTTCCCAGGAGACATCATCTCCACTCAGCCACACCAGCACAAGCAGACATTACTGAGATGGATGCCACTGAATTAGGAGGTTCTATCTCCAGAAAGATGTTCCAGGGCCCCATGCAGTCATCACCAAGGACTGACCCTCAGACCTTTCCCGGTTCGTTAGGAAAGGCAGGCGTGTTCAAGGCCCATCTGGTGATTCAGTAATGCAGTTGTCTCTTTACAGTATTTTTCCCTTGTGCCTGTTTCTTTAATGCTCACTGTGATTTGTATCTTGAATTCCAAATGCTTTTTTTCCCCTCTTTCTTTTTTCCCCTCTGACCTTTCCTCTCCGGCTGCTCCGTAATAGTACATTGTGTTTGAGGCTGGACATGAGCCAATCCGTGATCCCGAAACAGAAGAAAACATTTATCAGGTATAAAATCACTTCCCTCTCTTACCTTCGCACCACTACCAGCAAATATACTGGCAGGTCTGAAGAACCAGGTCTCTTCTCACGTGCTCCCCTGTCGGTCACTCCAGGCTTGTTAAAATGCTTCCACATGAATTGCTTCTAGTTCCTCTATAATTTACCAGTCATGTTCATGCCTTATTGTTGAAACGGTTAATCGCCGGTTGTTTTCCTTGTAAATGGAGCTTAGCTATTTTTAGTTGACCCCAAAATCAAACATTCCATTTTACTAAAGTCATCCATTGGAGGGTTGTTCTCCATAATAGAATAGGGTCCTTCATTTCTCAAAAGAATGTGCTCATCAAATTTCTTTAAAAAGCTAACTACACTACTGAAAATGAAGTACAATTTCAAAAATGCTACTTGAAAACAACACTGGGAAAATTAACTGAATAAAATGAAATATAGTGAAAGGTTTTACCCCTTCTGAAAGGAAAGGAAATTAATATTCTTACATGTCTGCTTATGTGAGATATCGTGAACACACTTTTAACTCGTTTAATTCTCACAAGTATGCTACAAAGTAGGCGTTGTGATCCCACTTTTACGGGGGGAAACTGAGACTCAGAGAAATTGAGTAGCTCTTTCTCAGGGCTCTGCAACAATTTAGAGCTGAGATCAAACCCAGGCAAGTGTGTGAAGGCAAAACTCAATGCCCCCTCCCCCATGATTTCCATCAAAGAGTTTGGAGTAATTGCTGCATAGCAACACATCAAACAAATATGACGATCTCCAATTTTTCACTAATTAGAATTTTAGTGCTAATTTGAATATAAACATTATAGAAGTAGGAAAAGTTTTAATGTATTTCGTAAGTGATTTTAATTTTCTTAACTTATTTAGTTGTGTGGTCTGTTATTCTGCCTTGGGCATGCATTACTTGTGTAATAAAAATGAAACAGATTTTCAATTTCCATCAAATGCACGAAAGTCTAAATAACCTAAGTATGTTAGCTCTATCAATAGCTCAGTTTAAAACAGCCCCATGGAATAATAATCTAAGGACAGTTGACCCTTGAACAATGTGGGTTGGAACTGCACAGGTCCACTTATACCTGGGTTTCTATCAATAGATACCTGTACCATTTTGTCTTTGGTTGGGAATCTGCGGGTGCAGAGGGCCGACAGTATACATTGATCTATGCCATTTTATATAGGGAACTTGAGAATCTGCTGAGTTTGATATCCATGGGAGTTCCTAGAACCAATCCTATGTGGATACGAGGGAGAGTCAAATACAGAATGGGGAATCCAACCAATAATGTTATAACACTAGGTAGGGTGTCAGATGGGTACTGGGCTTATTGGGGGGATCACTTCATAGATTATATAAGTGCCTAACTACTGTACTGTATACCTGAAACTAATACAAAATAACACTGAATGTCAATTATAATTCAATATATATATACAAATGTGTGTGGTGTGTGTGTGTGTGTGTGTGTGTGTGTGTGTGTGTGTGTGTGCATGCGTGCATGCATGCCTGCCTGCCTGCCTGCCAGTCTGTCTTTGGTAATGTTTATTGAGTGCTGATTGTGGGCTGGCTCTGTGAATGAGGATTTATATGCAGTATCTCATCATTCCTCACAACAACCCTATGTGAGTTGAACCATTATTCTCACTTTATAGATGAGGAGAGTGAGGCTCACAGTGTCGCAGAGCTACAAGAAGTAGAACACCCACTCACACCCAGGCCTTTCTCACCTCTATAAATAAGTAAATAAATGCTGAGGCTCTTGTCAACTCAGAATATCCTGACGCTGAGTTTCACAATTACATTCTGTGTATGTTTCCAGTCACATAGAAAAATCACTTGTTTTAACACTTCTGACCTCTCAGTTCTTCTGTCCATCATTAGGAAGATACCATTTAAGAGAATGAATATTTGATTGCCCTCTATTAGAAAGGCCTCTGGTAATTTTTCTCTCGTGCAATTGCCAGTCAGCTGGGCCTCCATTTGCTTAACAAGAGATAAGCTCTGGGTCCTAAAGATAAGGCTGGGCTTTTAAGAGCTGCTATTAGGTACCTCTTTTTTTTTTTTTTTTTGTAAGGGCTTCCAAGTGTTCCATAGCTATTCCTCCTGACTACATTGCAATGTTTCTTCTAGTTCTAGCTTGGCCCAGAGTGGTCTCAGATTTCTTTCCATGCCCTGTTTTCTGGAATGAGGTAAACAGACCTGGGATCTAATCCTTCAACTATTTTATGACCTTGGATGAAGTACCTAACTTTTGTATCTCAGTTTCCTTGGCTATAAAATAGGGATACTATGTTATCTGCTTCTAGATGTGAAGATGTAAAGTGACAAGGGCAGCACCTGGTACCTCGTAGATAATCTGTATACATTAGTTCCCTTTACTTCCTAGTATCATCGGTATCAGATGCTGCTCAGGATGTCTTATAATGATGTATTAACTGAACTAGAACAGGACTTGCTCACCTCAGAGAGCTTAGCAGAAAGCTGCAGCCTCACCTGACTTTGCTATTTATAATTCCAGCCTAAGGGAGGCAGAGGCTCTTGAGTAAACGTAACCTCTCTACCTCTCTTCGAGGATCAGTCATCTCATTTTCTAAACGGGATTAATAATAGTAATTGTCTTTCTCTTTGCATGCCTCAGAAGTAGTTATCAGCCGTCTTTTTAAAACAACACAGAGCCTCAAAGTACAAAGCGTTTTTACACCTCACTCAATTTTGACCTTTCTAATAACTTGGTGAGATAAGAACAGCTACAATGACAGTCATTTTAAACATAAGAAAATCAAGTCTTCCAATTTAAGTGCTGGGCCCAAGGCTAGAGGCTCTAATTCTAAACCCCGTGTTCTTTTCTACTTTTAACAAGCTTCTTGCATGAGTGATAGCACATCTTCCCATGCAAGTGATCTCCAATTTTGTTCATTCAAAAATCATTTTTAATCACCCACACACAGTGTGTCACGTATCATTATTTTAAAATGATTAAGTCTCTAGTCCTGTGTCACCCAACCCATAAACCGCCTCTCTGTACTATGAATATGTTTCTCAACTGAAAGTGTCTTCTGTATGTACAGTACTTAATATATAGTTGTTAGAGTCAATTTACATCTATTAACTTGTTCTTTCCAAATGGTATTATGTGTGGATCACCTAGCATGTGCCAGGCCATTGGGGGTGTAAGTGACCATGGCATGGTCCCCACCGGTGCTTAAGGAGCTTATAAGCAACCCCCTGGAAGCTCACAACAAACAGAGGAGGAAACTGAGGTCAGAGAACAAAGGGACCTCTGAGGCCGCACAGCCTGTGGCAGAGCCAGGATTAGAGTCCACGTCTCCCCCTTCCTTTTGGTCCAGACCTGTTACACTGTACAGCATCGTGTTACTGAAATGGTCTGCAGACTGCGTGGACCAGCCAGTGGCAAATGAGAGTCAGGACCGAGGCTCTTTCTGCCCTTTGACCTTTTAGCATCTCTGCCGGTGTTCTGCCCTCCGCACACACATGGTAAATGTTTGATGCTTAGACATTTCTTATTTAACTCGTGTTTACCAATGGGGAAACAGGGATAAGAAAATATTCTCCCTGTCCTCAGCAAGCTTACAGAGCAGTGGGTTACATAGGAGGAACAGGCAGCTGTACTGTAGTTTGAAAACTCCCACGTAAGATACAGCACATTTTACACCCTACTGCTGTCACCTGCTTACATTTCCATGTTCCCAGCCAGACAAGGAGCTCTGTTCGCTCAGGGCCCATATCCGTCTTGTCCTCCATCACTGTTCCAGGCAAAGCACAGTGCATGACACGTAATAGGTACTTGCTAACTTTTAGCTTTTAATGAAAGAATGTACTAGAGGGTTACGAGAGTACAGAGGGCAGCTCAAACCAGGCTTAAAGAGTCAGGCAAGACTACCAAGATGTCCCAGCTGAGATAAATCTTAAAAGACAAACAGGCAAATTGATATCTCACCCATGGGAGAGCCAAGCAGAAAAGCTTTTTCAATTATGCTCAGTTTGGGTTTATCCATCCCACCGCTTCTCTATTTGCAGGAATAATTGAGAGTCAGCAGTGGCTCAACTTGCTAAGTGCCCACAGTGAGCAGTGAATTACAGGGAACAGAAATGCTGTTCGTTTTGCTCAGGAAAGGGTGAGCTAGTCGAAATAAAAGTGAGGGCTTGGTAATTTCTTGGCCCTCGTTAATAAGGACTCTGTTGGCATTCTTAGAGGATTTCTTTTAGAGGGAGCCCAGTTATTGGAAGCCAAGAAATTACATTCTTCATTGGCTACCTGCAAATGAAGGTTTGCAAGAGTGGTTCGAAAGTGCCTCTTCTGCACAGCCAAGCTCATGCACAGTCCTGTTTTCTGCAAGAATGTGCACGCACTTCTGGGAGTGTAGAATGTGATGTGAAAGAGAAAGAAGCACCTGAAATAGCTGCGGAAATGGTGGGAACGGGTGAGAAGCAGCTGTCTATGTAGTGTACTCAGTGTTTAGTTGTTAGAGCCATTTCTCATCTCTTAGCTCATTCTTTCAAAAAGTATCATGGGGCCGGCCGAGTGGCTTGTTGGTTAAGAGTTGGCTTAGAGGCGTGAGCTCTGCGCAGCAGGGCTGCCGGTTCAGATCCCACATGGGCCAGTGACACTGCACCCTCTACAGCTAAGATGGTGAACAACAGCTCAACCTGGAACTGGGCTGCCATGAGGCAACGGCATAGGCTGCAGTGGGGCTGCAGTAGGCTGCAGTGAGCTGCCATGAGCCACTATGAGTGGCCGTCCAGAGGCCGGTGACCGATCTGCCTCACCCAGGAAGAGCACAATGATAATACCAACATGGGCCAGTGAAGCAATGGCCTCCAAAACTAGATTGAAGAACAAAAGGACAGCAACTTGTCTGTTCCCCTCCCCCAACTCCCCAATAAAATCTTTCAAAAAAAGTATTATGTATGCAGCACCTAGCATGTGCCAGGCACATGGGGATGTAATAGTGACTACAGCATGGCCTCCACCGGTGCTGAAGGAGTTTATAGGCCAACTCCTAGATGCTCATGACAAGGTTAAAAGGCAGCTTGCCCAGGCTCAAGCTCCTGGCTCCCTTGCTCACCAAGAGCAGGACCCTCTCCAGGCCTCATTTCCTTACCCTGCCACGCAGGGACAGTTGTCACCCTTACCCACTTGATTTGTCCTGAGGGTTACACAAGAATGTGCATAAACACAGATGCTTAGACCCAGTGCCTGGCATGCAGAAAGTGCCCCATCAATGTTAGCTCATACTGTTGGTAATAAATGTCCTGATTGGTAGCCAGAAAGAGCTAGGTTTGAACCTGACCACTTCCTAGCTTTGAGGCCTTGGGCAAATCCCCCTAACATCTCTGAGTCTCACTTTCCACTGTTTAAAGTGGAGATTATAATACCAACTTTTTAGGGTTAGTATAAGGATTTTAAATTAAGAGTGAAAATGACAAAGGGACTCAAGGAATAAACTCAAATTCTTATTTCTCTAAGGATAGCGTGCTTAGCTGGCCCAAGCCTAGAAGATAGACTCTTTACCTCAGTGTTTCCCACGTTCCTCTATGGAACATTTACCCAGCAGAATGCCTACTGGGTGTTAGGTCCTATGCCTGCAGTTACAGAGCTCCCAGGCTGATGGAAAGATACACAGGTTATCAGACATTTATAAAACCGTTGCTGCCTGATCCCTCTAATGGAGGTGTGAGCTATGCTCTCTAGGGGCTGGGGAAGAAAAACTAATGACTACGTTCAATCTGGAAGGTTTCAGTGCAAAGCCCTTCATTGACAAATGAGAAAAGTATTCAACATATCCACTGTTGTTAGTATTATAAAATGTGTTCATCCAAATATGCATATCTATGTAATACATCAATGATAAAAGAAGCTATCATTCTAACATTTTACAGTGTTATGGTGCCTAATAGTTTTGAGTTATTTACTATCTGTTTTCTCATTTGATCCTCACAATAATCTGAGTGAGAAAAAGAGCCAAAAGCACCCATTTTATAAGAGTGAAGCTCAGAGGAGCAAGCGACCTGCTCAGAGTATTACAGTTACCACTTGGCCCAATAAGACTGGATGGATGAATAAAAGAAAAAAGGGAGGGAAGACGATACGGATACATGTTTTAAAAGTCGAGATTGCCTGGATTCTGGTCTCATGGTTTTTATACCATTTCTGGGCCCTTTTCTTGAACAAAAACCTTTGGTAATTATCAGATGGCTGGTACATGCTTCCAACAGAAGCTGTACTTTATACCTTGACATTTGCGATATTTTAAATAGTCCGGATGTCAGTCTTAGCATTGAATAATTTAACCTCAGCTACAAACTGTTTTTCATCACGTTGGGCAACTCAGAGCACCTCCCTGGGTCCGTTTTTTGCTTTGTTGAAATAAGAACTTTTTTTTTTTTCCTACCGCATATCTCTGAGGTCTCTGCAGCTTCTTGTTCTGTGGCCCTGTAAGGAGCCCAATGGCTGAGACAGCCTGCAAACATTTGTGAAGTGGTTCACACACACGCCCTCACCTCACCCGGCTCTCCTAAGGGAAGGAGCCTGGCTTCCTGCTTCCACAATCCCAGCAGCCCCTTAGAGTTGCCCCCTGGGACCTCAGGGGACTGTCTCCCACACACTTAGCCAGCTTGGCGTTGAAGGCTGGTTGCTTTGTTCTTCGAAAATGGAGTACCAGAGTGTTTTTTGACGGTGTCGAATTTGATTTTTCCATAGGTTCCCACCAGCCAAAAGAAGGAAGGTGTTTATGACGTGCCAAAAAGTCAACCTGTAAGTGTAAGTATTCCTACTTTCTCCTGTCAGGTTCCCGTGACCTGGATTCATGTTGAGACTATGTCTACAACCTGAGGAAAGGAACCCCTCTTCTGGATAAGTGTTTCACCCCATATGGCTTTGCTGGGCACTGTATGCTAGGACTCCTCAGTGACCAGAGAGATGGAGGCATAAGGGAGAAGTGGCGGGGCTGAGGAAGGGCCAAAGGTTTTATTACATCTGGTCAAATGGAGGGGCGGGGCGAGGGGAGAGCCATGTCTTGGCTTTAGGAAGAGAGTTGTCCATCCAACTTGAAAGTGGTTGAGAAGTTTCAGAGGAACCATAGAAGAAGGGCTGGCCAGGCCTTTAGACTGTGTACCGGTCCAGCCAATGGGCGGGGCGCGGTGGAAAAGGCCATGTGTGGTGGGCTTACAGAGAACCCAGCAGGTCCACCGCACCTGTTTCCCACAGGCTGGTGGGACTCCTGGAAATGCGAGAGGGAAAGGAAATTTCAAAGTCTGTGGTGCTGTGCCGCCAACCACCTCTAGGCCCAGGCCCACATTTAGGTCCTTCAGTTGGCACTCGGAAGGTCATCTTTGTACATAATTGAGGCTGTACTGGGGAGCCTGCGAAGGCTCTAGAGCACGGGGACATGAGATTTTGCCACAACCTATGTTAAAAAAACAACAAACAAAAAAACAACACTAGGGTGTTTAGTTACTATTGATCTCATTCCGCTCAACAGTGGGTGGAAAGAGTATGGGCTTGAAGTCGTGCAGACCCTCAAGAATCGCAGCTGTGGTCCTAACAGAGCTGGTGTGAGGCAAAATGACTATCTGGAGCACTGTTATCAGTTTGGACCTCATGCTGTGGGAGACATAAAGATACACCTGTATGTTTGAAGATCAGATTGACAAGGGGAGTTGAAACCCTATCTCATGAGGAATAGTTGAAGGGCCTGGACATCTTTGGCCTAGAGAAAAGAAACCGTGGAAACTATATGTGGAGATGGGATTCCAAAGGGCCATGTACAGAAGAGGGATTGTAGTGGTCTGTGTTAGCCAGCTCATGGGACTGAGACCAGTGGGGGCCACTCCAAGAAAGCCAATTCCAGTTCAAAGGGAGGATGACCTTCCCGAGGGTCAGCACTCTTCCAGGGCAGAAGAGCTGGCACCTAAGAGAGTGTGGCCCCCATCACTGGAACAGCACAAGCAGAGCCTAGAAAACCACCTGTCACAGAGCCTATGGTGGGATTTAAACATGGAATGAGTAGAGGGGCAAGACTGTCCCTTCTGGAATGTCTGAGTTGGGAGTCTTTCTGGTGTGCTCTTACCTCTTTTCCCTGGTGGAATTTCTTTTGGATCAATGTCCATTTCTGTACCCTATTCTGCCAGTATCTTGAAACCACTCTACTCCACCTAAATACTGCTTCCCATACCCAGTGCAGGTTAGTCTTAATGAAAAATCCTACCCAAATGCAGGCCCCTTTTCAAAAACCAGAATCTGGAACAGAGTAGAGAACATGTAGTGTGGGCCTGCTCAGAGAAAAAGCTGTTTTTCTCCCTGAGGCCTCTGCATTTAATCAAGGCTATTGTCACTGAGACACTGGTCTTTCCTGTTTCAATTTGGTCCAGCATCCATTACACAGCTCCCTACAATTCAATTTGTGCTTAAATGGCCTCACTTGCCCCTAACACATTTAGATACATGAGGAAACATGCTTCCTTTGCTGCTTTTGTTTTTGTGAATTTATTAACCAGCCTAGGCACACCATCTCCATGTTTAATAGCTAAAAAATAAATAAATAAATAAATAATAAAAAGTCCAAGCCCTTTTTTTTTTTTTTTTTTTAGTTTCAGGTGTACAAAACAATGCACTAGTTATACTTTTCACCCCTCACCAAGTGACAACTCCCCCAATCCACTGTCCCCCCACCCCCGATATCATACATATCTATTACAATTCCATTGACTCCATTCCCACACTATACTCCACATCTCATGACTATATGTATTAAACTATAGTTGACGTACAATATTGTACAACATCAGCTTCAGATGTACAGTGCAGTGGTCAGGCGTCTACACTGTCCATGAAGTGGTCTCCCTAACACGACATGTGTCCATCTGACACCCTAAAAAATATTTACAACATTATTGTTTATATTCCCCAAACTGTCTTTCCTATCCCTGTGGCAGTGTTGTAGACAACCAATTTATGATGTCTCGTCCCTTCCCCTTCTCCCTCATCCCCACCCCCATCCCATCTAGCAATCATCAGTTTTTCCTCTATGTATCTGAGACTACTTCTGTTTACATTGCTCATTTATTCAGTTCTTTAGATGCCACATATAAGTGAGATCATATGGTATTTGTCTTTCTCTGAATGACTTATTTCACTTAGCATAATGTTCTCTAGGTCCATCCATATCGTTGCAAATGGTACGACTTCCTTCTTCTTTATAGTGGAGTAATACTCCATTGTGTAAATGTACCATAGTTTCTTAATCCAGTTGTCTCCTGATGGGCATTTTGGTTGTTTCCAAGTCTTGGCTATTGTGAATAGCGCTGCAATGAACATAGGGGTGCATATATTTTTTCGGATTAATGTCTTAGATTTCTCTGGATAGATACCCAAGAGTGGAATTGCTGGGTCATAAGGTAGTTCCATTTTGAGTTTTTTGAGATATCTCCATACTGATTTCCTTAATGGCAGCACCAATCTGCAGTCACACCAACAGTGCACCAGGGTTCCCTTTTCTCCACAACCTCGCCAGCACTTGTTGTTTGTTAATTTATTGATGATAGCCATTCTGACCGGAGTGAGGTGCTATCTCATTGTGTTTTTTATTTGCATTTCTCTAATGATTAGTGAGGTTGAACATTTTTTCATATGCCTGTTGGCCATCTGTATGTCCTCTTTAGAGAAATGTCTCTTCATATCCTCTGCCCATTTTTTAATTGGGTTGTTTGTATTTTTGGTGTTGAGTTGAATGAGTGTTTTATAAATTTTGGGTATTAACCCCTTATCAGATATATCGTTGACAAATATCTTCTCCCATTCAGTAGGCTTCCTTTTTGTTTTATTGATGATTTCCTTTGCTATGAAAATACTTTTAAGTTTGATGTAATCCCATATGTTTATTTTTCTTTTACTTCCCTTGCCTGAGGGGATATTATCAGTAAAAATATTGCTCAGGATAATGTCTGCAAATTTACTTCCTATGTTTTCTTCTAGGAGTTTTATGGTTTCAGGTCTTACATTTAAGTCTTTAATTCATTTCGAGTTTGTTCTTGTATATGGCATAAGGAGGTGGTCCAATTTCATTTTTTTGCATGTGTCAGTCCAGTTTTCCCAGCACCGTTTATTAAATAATTATCTTTACCCCAATGTAATTTCTTGCTTCTGTTGTCATAGACTAACTGACCGTATATGAATGGATTTATTTCTGGGCTCTCTATTCTGTTCCATTGATCTATGTGCCCGTTTTTATGCCAGTACCATACTGTTTTGATTACTGTGGCCTTGTAGTATGAAAAAAATCCAAGCTGTTTAGCTTCACATACATGGCGCTCGGGTCTTGGCCTCAGCCTCTATCTCATCCTGATCCAACACTGCTGAGCCCCACAGCTTCCTGAAGGAGACACGCCCTCCCCTAACATCCCAGCTTAACTTCAAGCTTTGTGCTCTCAGGGAGCCTTCCTGGACTTTTGCTCTAAACAGGGTCTGCAGATCACCCTTACCTTTGTATCCTTATGCCTATCATCCCTCTATGAATCGGCCGTACCACACAGTGTCAGATTCCTCACCCCATTACGTCCAGGAGCTTCCCAAGGCCCTGCATTACCAGAAGCAAGCCCAGGGCCTGGTACGTGATACCCAGGCATGGCTCAGCCACTAGGAGCATTTAATAAATACATGAGTGACTCTACTCTGCAGTAGAAGTTCATGGAAATCTCTAGCCCTTTCTTTTAATGGGAATTCTCTGTTTTCCTGACTCTAAAATAGTCATTAAAGTCATAAGGTTTCATTGGGAAATACCTGGCCTGCCTGAATGGCCTGCAATGGCTCCCAGCCTGCTGTTCCCACAGCATCCTCTTAGAAGCATCTAATGGTGATGATGGCTTTTCCATGAATATTTTCATCATTTCCAAAAGCTGAAAGAAGGCAGCAAGTAAAAAGCACAGGTTCTAGTGGAGAAATGGATACAACTGGAACCTCAGCTCCTGCTCTCACTACCTGTGGGATTTCTGACAAACTTCCTTGTCCCTCTGAGTCTCAGGGTTCTCATCTACCAAACGGGTTATTGAACTAAATGGCAAGGTGATTTAGAGGAGAAAGTCATGTATGTAGTGGAAAGTTGGTCCCACTTGCCTAAACCTCCCAGAGGTACTTTAAATGCCGCATGTCTCTCCCTCTTCTGGGATCTTCCTGTCCTCCAGACTTCCTCCTGGTGACCTGCCTCCCTGATGGGGGCACCTTCGCTAGGATACCTCTGTGCTCTGAAAACTTCTGCCACGATCTCACTGTTTGCTCTTTTACCACCTGCTCCTTATCCGGAAAGACAACAACCAAAGTAGCTTCCAAGTTGTCTGGGGCTTCCACACGTTTCCCATAAGATGGGAAGCTGCCCAGTGGCCTGTTGGCTTTTTCTTCCTTGGGTCCAGGTCCGCACAAAGCCCTGATCAAAGATTCAGCTGTGGGCTGTCACTGGGGGGAAACCACAAACCAGCCCACAGTGATCTCCAGCGGCAGATCTGGGCATGCGCTCATCCTGGCCACCTCCTAAGGGTCCTTGAGAACTTTCTTCTATCTCTAAGCCTCAGTGTCATCACCTGTAAAAACTTACCCCAGAGTCATTGGCCCCTCTGGGGTACCTGTGTACTCTCTTTGCAAGGATCACAATGGGTTGTTGTTTTCTCTTAATGTGTCCATGTGAGCCATTGGGTTCGAGTTCCTTAAAAGCCTTGGCTTTGGTGTTAATAATATTGTCAGAAAAGTAATGACGTACTTTTTCTATGTTT